TTCTCCTGTGTCAGAATTAAAGTTGCTCTCTAACTGGAGCTGCACTGTTTCCCCTCATCAGGACTCAGCTGACCACTGCAGATATAACAAGCACCAGGTCCGACTGCTGAGAGCTCAGAGCTGTCAGGGAGCAGCTGAAGCAACAGAGAGCGCCGCGAGTGCAACCGAGCTGCACGGCTGTCACAGGCTGCGACTCTGCACCAGATTTAATGAAGTCATTAGAGTGAGGCTTATTACAGGCAGTATTTTTTAAATTAAAAATCAGAGATGCTCTTACGTAACTGTACTGTACAAACAGAGCCCGAACAATCGGTGCCAGTGATGGAGCAGCTGTAGCTGCAGCAGCACACCCAGTAACCACCAAAATCTTGTACAGAATGTTTCTGTGTTCTGTCAACAACAACAATATGAGACCACTGAGCTGCCTGGGCAGCCCCATCCTGCAGGGTGGCTTCACAGTTTGGCTCTGAAGTGTCAGAGAAATCACCAGATTATAAATCAGACCTCTTGTTGCTTTTGTTAATAATCACAAATACCTTACTTTGTATTTTTGATCCTTCATTCGAATGAGAACTTCCCTGGACACCAAGTACAAATATTTAATTGTTCTTAAAGACATAAACTGATGTTTTGTTATGCAACATGGTGTCAAACAACCCACTGCTGATGTTATTTATGTTAGTACAGCTAATCAGGTCACAGCTTTTATTCACCACTGGGGCCTTGACGTCAAAGAGAGAAATGATGCAAATTGGTGCAGCTCTACCAGGAACTTTTAAAGAGCACTTCAGGAACTGTTGGGAAAACAAATTATGCAAAAAAAGGTGAAGGAATTCTCTTATCTAATGGTGTGAGCTCCAACTTTTGCTCAGAGGTTTTGTTGACTAGTTCACCAGTGTAGGTGTCAGAAATTACTGCATATTCAACCTTTGAGGGCTGAGCAGGTTGACCTCTGACCTACAGTACATGTTTAGACCAAATGTAAGTAACTGAAGGACTACGACCAAACTCAACAATGTAACAATGGTTATTGACTGATATTCCTTTCGCTCTTGCCAATGTGAAACTCCTCCCCACCAGAGATGACATTTTTATCTTCCTCTCCATCCTCAACTTTAAACTTTTAATTAGACGTGTGCAGCAGGCTAAGTAAGAGACCTGCCAATGTGACTGTCAGTCAGAGCCAAAAAAGAAAAACGACCTTGCTTTAGAGCAACCCCAGCGGGTGAGGACTAAAAAAGAAGTCAAATTTAAATTCATGACTTAACAAAGATTTTCTGAGTCACATTTGCAGAGATTCAAGGATTAAAGAGCAAGAAGGGTAGAGACGACTTCTGTTTTCATCCTCTTTTATAAAAAAAAAGAAAGAAAAAAGAAATGGAAACGCTGGCCTGTGAGAGACGGTACTTTTAGGTCCATAATAAGTTACAGGATGTGAGGTATTTGACCTTTAATCAAGGTTAATAGCAATAAAATTTGTACAAAGTTATTTATTATGAATAAATGTTACAAACAGTTTTCAAACACACGTATAAATCTTTACACATTGTTTGTGATTAAATAAAAAAAGAAACATCTTATCAGCTTATAACAACACACCCACTAATTGCATAGAGAGAAATTAAGCACCTTTTTTGTAAAATAAACTACAAATCAGTGATACAGGTGGTTTATATAAAACCTGTACAAGACTCACGTTTTCAAAAGCCACATCTTAGTGTTTTTTTTCAATTTAAGTAAATTGAGATTATGCACAAAACAACATATTAGACAGAAGATAGATTTGCACATCGTACAAAGTCCGTGTTATCGTTCCAATCCATGTACATCGCACTGTCAGAGTCGAAGCCTCGACACTAATGAGGCGAACGATGAGTTCATTCACAGACGTGTCGACCAAATCATTGAGCCTCATTCAAAAACGTAACGTGAGCTGAATAAAACAACGCAATTAAGGTTTCGTGACATAACTTGATATAAGCTTTCTAATTATCCTGCGGTGGGTGTCATGACAACCACACTGAGCGCGTCACTGCCCTCTGCCATCGCAGCTATTTCCAGTCTCAACCCCAAGGGAGAGACCAACCAACGCCTCACCAAAGTAAAACACAACATAAAGAGAATCTACGTGTTTATAATTGTCTGGGAAGAAGAGTGCAAGGAAATAACCGGGGTCTAGACAATCACAATCCAACAGAAGTAAACGTTAAAGTTTTAAAAATCCTCACATAGAAGTCATTTACAATGAGGCATACATCAAATACAAAGCTGTGGCTTTAGAAAAATAGACTTTTATATTTCTTATCAATTGTCAGATTAACTTTCCACGAAGAGGAAACCTGTCGCCCTGTGGCTGCTGAATACATAAGTGAATGAACACATTAATAAATGAACAGAGAGAATTTAGAGTCATTACACACACGGGTAGATTAGTCCCACTGAAGTCAACTTGTTGCTTCAGTTACAGTCACTTCCTGACAAATGTGCTGTCAGTTTACTAAGAAAAACAAACCAAAACAGCTTTAACACAGTGCTATACAAGGCTACAGCGTACACTCCACCTCTGTGTACCTAGAGATGATAAAACAATAATTTTGGGACACTGTTCAATATATGTACATGCATAAACATATATGTATATGCTAAAAGCCAAATTAAAGGTGTGATCTATTCACCGTTTTGACAGGAATAAATTATTTGTTTTATTATTATTATTTACCTGTAAAGACTGTGGTATTTCTGGCCACAGGAAAAGATCGCACCTGAAAAATGATCTTAGAAATAAAGGTTAGATTTCATATTCTGTAAATTTCCTTACTGTATACAGGTCAGTCAAATGGTATAAAATGGACGCTACATAGTGCAATATAATATTTTCCACCGTTAATCTGTACGTTTATGAACATTTGAATATGGCTCTATATGTCACAGATCACACTGTGGTAAAATAAAGTGCAACCACGAACAAAAATAATAGAGTTAACATCAGGTTTCACTGCAGCAGCCACAGAACCTCAGTATCTCTACTGTTTAGTGAGTTCTTTTCTTTTGGGGAACAAAGGTGTGGTTTCTCTCTGACTGTTGTCTTACTGTTTGTGTTACTTGGACAGGTATCGGCCACAGGACCAAGTTAAAACCCTGGGTCGCAGACAGACACCGATCAGAGCTGCATGGTCAGAGAAGGATTCGGCGCTGGACTCTGCCAATCTGACACAAACGGAGAAGAAGCAAAACCATTAAATATTTAAGGTCACAGGAAAATAATTCAAATATTGATGAGATAAATGATGGCCCGTATGATGCATGTGAAATGACATAAATATAACATTTACTGAAAGAATGGAAAGAACTTTAACTCTCTAAATACTTTACTTCTAACGCTTAATGCAACATTAAAATTCAAAATATAAATTGACTGATCACTTACCGGTTTCCATCTCTACTTCCATATTGCTGCAGAGCAAAAGTAAAAGGCAGAAGGAACAGTGTGACATTAAAAACATTAAACACACACACACGCAAAGCCCCAAAATATTCATAAAACAAACAAAAATGTAGCTATAATTATTTAAACCAAACTGCTACATTACCTCCTCTTCATACAGAAGATTGAAATTATAGAACCCTTTCAGCTGATTGACCATAAAGTTATGACAACGAGTCTTATACAAAGGTAGTAAAAGTCTTATGTGATTTGAAGTTAATCTCCAGTTAAAACCTACTGGTTTCTTAAACCGATTTAAATCATCCTTCAGTGAGAATCTGGTGAAAGGTGAGCAGAAAATCACTGAGTCACGAGTCTTGGTGGGAAGACATTCTGTGCAGCAGAGGAGGCAGGCAGGTTTAAAATAACACAGCAGGCCTACGAGATGACAAGCCACAGGCACAAAAATATGATAATAAATAAATAATCTTGTAGCCTGGTAACAAGTACTGACTCACAACATCACATCTGAAACTCTCTTGGTCAGTAACTGCTGATTTGCTGCTTTCTGATCAAAAAAAAAAATGTCTGCATGTTAGCAACCCAGAGAATGAGGGGTTACCGTGACAACTGGTGAAACTGAGCCACCTTGAAACGTACTGCAAAATGTAACAGAAATAAAGGGATTAAAAAACATTACCATTTGTGGCTTCACTTTATTCCAACTTGGCAACAAACTGGAGCTGATACTGATTTAATGTCCTTTTTATGGTGAGTGAGCAAAAGAGAATAAACAAATGTTGCAGCGACACAGTCGGCACTTAACCTGTCAGACTTTGATGGATGAGCGTCATAATCCGCCACAGGCCTTCACTCAAAGACTTCCCACTCTTTTCTCAAAACTTTTTTACCAGGAATTTCCTCAGATGTTTGCAGCTTCTACAGACATGTTGTCTTGTCCTACACTCACACTAATCCACTGATCACCTACTGTTTAGCCTTCATTTTGGTCATTCATTTCCCAGGTAAACTGAGACAATCCCCCGCTCTTCTGACCTGTAACAACACAGTGCAGCACCTGTAATATTAAAGACATGAAACTCAGTGCGATGCAGCACCGTTCACAACTCAATCTGACGTTACAGGATCTGACAACTCGACTGCTGCTGCGTTCCCCACATTCCTCAACCTGTCCACCAGGTTGTCTGATTTTCCTACAAAAACAACCAACAACACTGTCATCCCTGCTGAGATCAGCCTCTTTAATTACCAGTCCTCTGCTTTTTGATCTCACTTCTCCCAGTTCTTCTGTACAGTCATTTCAGGCTCAAACGTCTGCTCCACTTTCACCCATTTGCTTTATTTAACACGACCATGATCCCTAATGGCAGCCGGCACTGCAGTTTAATGAGCTGCCTTTACTTTAATGCTGAGGGGGCCGGCCCCCCTACGCTCTTCCTCCCTTAGTGATGATATAATAAAGCACTTCACACTAAGACAACATTTCTGAGCAAGTATTTCCTAAGAATTTTTTTGCGCAAACCTCAGGCAGACAGCAGAAAAGTAAAGATCAGATATGTGCGTACAGAGCGTTAAATTAAATCTGAGCCTCAGAGAAAATGTTCCATTAATGAAACACAGACTGCAGTTTCATCAGAGAATTTCACTGGATTTCTTGAAATTTATCCAACACAGCTTTCTGTAAGTTAGTAATCTGTACAAATGATGTAGCTTCTTAATTCAATGTGGAAACAAAATCTTTGCTGTCTGAATATGCAGACGAATGTGATCAGAAGCTGTGACAAACTCTGCAGTCACACCGACTACAGTGTGTGTTCTGCTCCGGTTGTACAAAAACCTTGAAAGGTCAAAGCAAAAATAAAATAAAATGTTTGTTTGTTTGTTTTAAATCATGACTTTTCCAGGTCTATTACAGCATAACAATCGAGCTACGGAAATGATTTTATGTGGCTGTAAAGCTACAGACACTATGTATCCTAAAAACGGCTGATGGTATCGCATTAATGGAACAATACAGTACCAACAACCTTCTGTTTCCACTTTTGTCTCACGATGATGAGTCCTCATTTTCAGTTTGGAAAGTTGGTCATTGTTGTCAATCATTTTTTAGATTTTTTCCAGGTTTCCAGGGAATCTGTTATTCCTTGAAGTTGAGGACAGGCAGCAGAGCTGTACACCACCGGTTATAGAACAATATTATGAATCTTTAAGTCAGTTTTTCAACAGTTGTGCTGTTATTTAGAACATTGGGTATATTTCGGTTATATTTTAAAGTAAACCAAAGGTTTATTTTTAGAGGTCCACAGACCCACAGCTTGAAGGTTACCTTGAGAATGTATCATCCAACCCTTCCTCCACGTCCTGTGAAGACATATATAAATAATACAAATCAATACACAGTATTTTACACTCGCTCCACTGCTTTTAGGCTCTTTTCTTATACTTTTGTTTTATTCAAAAGTACGATGGTACCATCTCATATTTTTAGATCTAGTTCTCCATAACATACTCTACAAATCATCCTTAAAAAAAAAAAACTTCAGACATCTCAACATTTAATCTCAGGCAATTAAATTAGTTTGAATAACAAAAAGAAGAGCAGTTAAAAACTAATTTGGTCTCCAATTAAATAAATGACTAAAAAATACTTAACAATATGCTGGGAACAGATTCTAATGAAAGGGCACACCCATGTGGTGAATATAGGTAAGAGGAAAAAAATTAACCCCTGCATTTTCCAACAGCAAGGGAAACGATCATATTATTATAGAAACAAATTCTCCTATGGCTCAATCTGACTAACAAAGGAAGTACCCAGGAGTCGTGTTTTATTGGTCGCCTCCTCGTGGGATTACTGCGGGGCGATGGTGAGCTGAGTGAGGCCGAGAAGAACGGCCTCCGGAGTTTCTCCTCCGACCTAACAGGCTGCTGTGTCTCTGAGTGACAGAGAAGACGTGTGAGGAGAAGACAGGGTTGACAGGGGCAGAGGGAGACGGTAGAAAAGACAGGGACAAAAGACCAGAGAATATGAAAACAGACATATAGTGAGTGAAAGGCTGGAGGGAGACGTGTCACACTCTTCTTCTTCTTCTTCTTCTTCTTCTTTGTGCAGCTGGCAGCACAGACCAGCAGTCTTCACATGTTTTCCTGCACCAGACAGAACTGAAATCCTGTCTTTAAAACTTTAATACGACTCACTGAGTTTCTCCCAATGATGCAGTTTTTTTTACATCCCTTTTTTTCTTGTCTTCAGGCCACTACCACTGGGAGTGGAACAGATTTTAATTGAAAGGAGGCGAGAAAAGTACAGGCCTTAAGTAACAACAATCTGAATGGATGACTAAGTCTGAACCACTGCACCCCCCGAGGAGGGGAGCATAATCTGGCTTTTAAATGTCACAGCTACTGGAGAAAAACACAGCCATCCACTGCTCCCCTGAATGACTAATGAGGCTCATGTAATGGTTTGAATTGTTAGCTGTGTATGTGTGTGGGGGAGGAAGAGAGAGAGAGAGGGAGAGAGAGAGAGAGAGAGGGGGGGGGGAGAGAGAGAGAGAGAGAGAAGGAAGAGGCAAGAATCCGACTGTCATGTTGACCCTCAGACAAAGGTCACGTTCTCATGTCTGAGATGGAAACAATCTGCATTTAAAAGTTAAAATTACAGTATGTTTGTTTCCATCAAAAAATATATTAACTTGATCATTCTAAAACCCACCTGCTGCAACACACTGAGTGTCTGACGTCTCCGTCTGTGTGTTGGCGGCTGCACAGGAACAGCAGGTCCTGGCCTTTTTGTTTTTACCTGTCAAAACATATGAATGTTCAAAAGGTATTTATATATTTTGTAATAAACATCATTTATTGGTTTCAAATATATTCATTATACTGTCATTTTCGCTGGTTTATTAAAATGAAAAAATAGAAATACAATCTGTCTTTAAACAGATAAAAGCACAAATTTAATTGATCAACTTACCTTCCTGAGCAACTTCCCAAAGATCCAGTGCTATTTTAAAGGCCTGAGCCACTGTCAACGTCACTGCCTGAGCCTAAAAAAAAAACAGAAAACAAATAAGCAACAAAACAAACATCTGATGTTATAAAAAAAACCTACAACAAAACAGCAATAAAATACGCATACATACATAGAAATGCAAACACATACATATACAGAATCCACATAAATATAAGTGCAATTAATCAACCACAAGATGGAGCCCTTTCCATTGTTTTTGCTTGCTGCCCCATTCACTCCTTAATGGTGAACAAATGGATTTCTCTTATTGCTGAACTAGTTCATTAAACCTAATAAAGTAAAACACTTACAATTTTCCTCTTCTGGCAGAGGAAAGCGTGGCACTCCAAGGTCTCACTGAACTGACTCTGAGAGACGTAAGCAAAGACCTTGTCCTGAGTTTTATCAGCCGTGCAGTAGGAGATTCTGGAAGAGTGAAACCCCAAAAACATGTTTTCAAATCACATGAATAATTTACACCAGTGAAACAAGTACTAATTTATTTATATACAGGTTTAGAGTTGAAGGTCGTTATGTTGATTTGGAAAATGTTACAACAACAATATTAATCAAACAAATCAGACAGTTCCTCGAATATAAGCTGGTTGAATTTTAAATCCGGAACACAACTTTACCTTTGTGTTCTTCATTTTTGCATATGCATTAGAAAGTCCTGCCACTGCAGGAGTGACTGTTATTAATATTATGTTGATGAAGTCCCAGAGCTGGGAACAGTCATACAGTAGGCAGCAGTGATGAGCAGAGGAAATGGAAGTATATAACTGGGACAGAACAACACACACACACAGACTGTTCAATATATTTATATATACACACATACAGATAAGGTGAAAATGATAGAGCTCCAAAGTTTTCAGAGCAACTCTCGGTTGACCCTGAATTTCATTTAAAGTGTTGAAATTCTGCACAGGAACAGGAACGTTCCCCAAGTTTTTCCACTTTATCACATCAGCAGCTTCAGAGAGGAGATGTGAACCTGTGAGAAGTGCATTCATCTCCCTGGAGAGTTACATAATATAGTGCAGCCTCATATCAGATACAGAAAAATCCCCTCTCAGTGTGGGAACACTGTGATGAAAGGTTTTTTTTTTTTTTCTGCTGGTGGAGTGGGATGGAAACGGTGTCTGTTCAAAATCAATCTCTCCACCGTCCTCACCTTACGGTAACGGTTCTGATCTATTTATACCCTACACTGAAGTGTGTGCGCACACACACATACACAAACACACAACTAATGGATGTTTTCTCTGATCCAGTGCACACTGATAACAGCAGCATTGATCATGGCTCTCCTGTGTGTGTGTGTGTGTGTGTGTGTGTCTGAGGTTTGTTTTATGTTAGCAGACACAACAGCGGACGTGGGAATGAGCCTCAGTGACTGATGCCTCTGATCTGAGTCAACATAATTAAACACAAGTGCTTTATTACGGTCAGGGTCCCAGGGCTGCGTGCTGTCATCATCCTGACAGGGTGATGACACTCAGCTGCAGTCTCCAGTGTTGTTTTAAAGATGGCAGCCTCTCTGCTGCCACCCATCTTCAAACCAGGGATTAAAAAGCATGAAGTCGCAGCCCTCACATCTCACCCTCAGATTCTGCCACTGATGCGTGACCCACATAGCACAGCACTGCCCAGCGCACACACACACACACACACACACACACACACACACACACACACTCTCAGATCCCCACTGCCTTTTGAATGTACGTTCAAGCATTAAATGCAGGAAAATGAGCAGAGAAACAGTTCAAAGAGTTGACCCAAATTATTATGCAGATAAAAAAAAAACATCCAGTCAAATAAATGCAAAATAACACTGGGAATTCATCATATGAATCAACATATGTTATTTGTTTTTCTGTATGAAGCTGCATTGTCCAGGTCTTTGGCAGTGATTACCATTTTAATAACATTCTTATCTGTAAATGTGCAGATCTGATCTGAAAAGATTAAAATCTTTAATCTGATTAATGAAAAGTGTAACCAATTAATCATGATTAATAGTGATTGCGATTAATCACAGTTAATCAGGATTAATCCAGATAATTACAACAATGACAAAAACCCTTTTTCTTTTCTGTATTAGAAATTGCTAAAAAAACAAATCGATTTGTTTCACACCTGTCTTTTTTTTTTTTTAGACTAATCCAAATTATGGAATTATTCCTAAACCCTTATCTTTCTATATTAAACATTCTTGACTTAACCAGTGCAGATTAAAAAAAAGAACAGAAAAAACATTTTCCTAACAGTCCAAAAAGACAGACTGGAGTCTAATTGAAAGCATCACAGTTTCCACTGAGCCTGAACCACAGAAGCTGAGCTGTCAGATTTGATCACATCTCTGAAGATGGTGAGCTTTTGATCCTGGCCTGCTGCGTTCACCGAGCATCAATGGTTTGTGAGTAAGAGAGAGAATATCAATAGAGATATTGAAGTATTCACTGTATGGGCTCATTGGAAATTCAAACATCAAAGACGCACATCTTCAAAAAAAAAAAAAAAAAAAGCAGCAACCCTTTTCATGATTCAGTGGCCTGCTTTTGTTCGACTTGTAAACCAACAACGGAGGAGGAATAATGGAGTCCAGCTCTGTGCTGATGCTGCAGGGAAGTGTTGATCAAAACAACAGCGAAAAACCAACAACCAGAAGAGACGAGGTTTAAGAATGTTACATAAATATTCATCAGTGTCTCCGTGGTGTCCTGCGATGGTGTGCTTTCAGATCCTACACAGATACATTTCACACACTCTAATAGCATCAACATGCATCATTAGCAGGTGGAGTGTCTGCGTTTCATCTCTTCCTCCCTCATTCCCATGTAGTGTTGATTCATATGCTGCTCACAGAGGGATTTTGCCAGAATATGAATCAGAGGCTCCAGTGCTGACAAACGCTCACAGTATTCTGGTCAAATAAAGGATTAACTGAGACAGACAGTGATTTAGATGTCAATACCACAGTTTAGACGGGCTTATTCATCAATACTGCGCAGTAAAGTTTTAAGCTGTGTGTTGTTTCACTTCACTGGAACTTCTTCTTTGAGATAACAGTGGTCTCCAAGTGTCTGTTTAAATACAAATCTTTTAAACCAGATAAATATGAGTAATATATAGTCAATGTAGAGCCAAACTCAATTTGTTTAATGAATCTTAAACGAGCTACATGCTAAATTCAACTCTTGTGCTAGAACAAATAAGGCTCTTAATATTATTAATAAAAATTCTCTCACAACCAGTCGGACGTTTCCTACTAGTATTATGTATACTCCAGTGTACTTAGTCTATTTCTAATGTTAAATGGTACAGATGGAGCTGTAGCCAATCCGAGCTAACGTCAGGTGAAAGGAACAGTTAATCCATATGAAGTACACACACATTCACAGATAAGAATGTTATTAAAATTGTAATCACTGCCAAAGACCTGGACAATGATTTATATTGCACTTTACCATTTGTGTAATGTCTTCACACGCACACACAATATATATACAATATATATATATAAAGTAGTATATATTCTACTGCAACTTTTTCCTACACTATACACTGTATATACACTGAAGTTGTTTTGACCATTTATTATTGGTTATTGATTTGCTTCAGCCATGATACGAACCAACCCTGGTTTTATACAATATCATCACATTCTCCTGGGGCTCCTCATTAGCTGGCCTCACTCATGACTACTTGTTTGTTTGTTTTTCCATATGTCTGCTGTCTCGTGCCGCAAATCTCCACTCTACTGTGAGCTGACAGGGTCTGAGTGGCTGTCAGGACTCCTAACTACAACATCAGGCTGTGAAACTGTCAACACTTAAGTTCCAACAATAAATATCCTCTCCTACACTGTGGTCCACACAAACGCCCTCCGTTCTACTGTATTTTCTCCCCCTCCTCCACCACTGAGCTTCCCCTGAGGTACAGAACTCATCCTTTACAGTGTGTGTGTGTGTGTGTGTGTGTGTGTGTGTACATTCAATTAACTGAACACAGAATCAATGTGTGACTGAGGAGCATCCAGGCACGGACATAAATGTGCATTCACACAGACGTGCATGTGCAGTCAGCTCCACCTTAACTCTGTCCTGCCTCGCTGGTTAAATCCACTCCCCCATTCTTTCACCCTTCACTTACTTTCTTGGCCAATAAATGGATTATAAGCAGCAAAAATAAGACGCACAGAAGGAGGAGCAGGGAGATGAGGGGGTTGGGGGTTTTATTAGAGGGGCTGAATAAATTCCTGGTCAACTCCCTTCCTATGTGGTCCTTCAATTTCTCTTGTATCATTTCCTCTCTGGTACGGGTAGAGATTGGCAGTGTGTACTTCAAAGTGGGCCATTACTCGTTAGCATTACTGCAGTCAGCTCTGTTCGTGCTAATGTAAGTAGAAAAAGAATTAAGAAAATAAAGAGAAGCTGGAGATAAGAAGAGAAGGAGACTAAAGATGGGGCAGATCTGACTGAGCCGTCTGTGGTCTGTTTGAGGTGATAAGACGAGAGGACACACAGCTAGATGCACAAAAACACACATTTCTTTAAGAAGAAAAATGTCCTGTGACTTGACCTGATTTAACCTGGAATCCTTCGAGGCAGAGGTTAATGTTTCAAATACAGGCAGAGATTTAAAAACAAGCATACAAACACACACACTCTTACACAAACACACACTAATGTGATTGATTGAAACCAAGTGTGAAGGTCAGGTTCCACTGCTGCTCCACACTTTCTGCTGCTCCGCTCTAATGGTTCCAGAGTTCAAAGCCACTTCAGAACAGTTTGGTTTTTACTGCAGCAGATACTAATGTTCAGAGAAGGCAATGACTCGGAGAGATTACAGCAGCTTCGAATGCATCAGATTGGGCCACACTCATTTTTATGACGTGAAATGAAAAATTACCACCACAGTGAGAAGTTGGTGAAGAAACAAAAACATTTCATTCATTTAAAGAGTTTCACTGCTGGTAAAGAGTTCCACCGAGAAGTAATTCAACCGGGAAAAGCAATAAATACATAAATAAATATAAATACCACATAGTTCTAACAGACAATTACAAATAACAACAGCTTGAAATACTTTAGAGATTTCTTTAATTATACTTCAAAGATTTTTTTAACTCTTTTACCTTGAAAAAATTATACAGAATTGAAGAACTCCTTGTACTGTAACCTGCTCAACTGTAGTTGACTTCAGTTAATAAGGTAAACACTCAGAGCCAGTGGAAACCCACCTCACTGGTGAGAGGCAGAGCTGCAGAAACCCCTCACCTGTATATGGAGACGTCCTCGATGAGCTCTGAAGTCTCTGTGTCTGTGAGCACGATGCCTTTGGGTGAAACTGTCAGAGTTACTTTTCGAAATTTCTTAGCACTGGCTCTGGCCTGTGGACATGAAACAAAAACATGACACACTAAAGTTAGGGGAGGGGGCTGGTGCGGGGTCACGCCTCAGGCAGTGACGTAGCTCATGTGTCGCTCTAACATTAATAATAAATAAATGAAATTTTTGATTCAACAATAGCTGCAGAGGAGGAAGTGCAGGCAGCCTGAGAGAGTTGCCCTAGAAATGAGTAGAATTTATGAAATGCGACAGAAGAGAGGGGCAAGGCAGGGGGAGGAGAAGAGCCGCAATGTGTGACCCAGAAGGAGTGCTCGAGGTCGGGCCGGTTGCCACTGACTAGCCCTGCCTGCTCTACTCCATCTGGACCTTCAGATAATGCAGTCAGAGCGCTGAGCTAGCAGTCTGTTCCTGTGCCTGTTGATAATGGTGGTGACCTCTTTAGCATCAAATCACAGAGCAGTTTAGACTCCAGTGTGGGAGTAACTGATAGAACATGAAATAAAAAGTTAAATACATTGCGAAGTAGCACATGTAAGGTGATGGAGTTTTTAGCATAGACCAAACAGAAATGTTGAGGTGAATACACTAGAACTAGGGTTTTTAAACCATGGGGCACTCCACCCCTTGGGGACACCAGAGCAATTCACTTTATTGTAAAAAAAAACCCCAACATTTTAATAGGTTGTAAAATGACCCACCGTGCAGACAATTCTGTGGATGGCAGCTGAAGCCATGTCTTCTCCTTTAGGTTGTTCCACCAGTGTCATACCGAGGTATTTCACGTTGAACACCATCCCCTCCAGCAGAGTCTCCTTGGTGTCAGTCCAGTTTTCTGGCAGCTCTGGTGGGACAAAAGATATTACTGCTTTAGCACCATCTTAAAGCGTTCTGAAACCACTACAGTCTGCAGCAGATAAATTAATTAAACTGTCAGTCAGAATCAAGAAGTTGCAAAAAAAAGTGTTGTAATGCTTGTGATTAAAAGAATATTAAAAACACAAATGTTAACAAGTAGAATAACATGGCAGTGTGAACGAAGACAACAACAGTTAACCTTAATAAATGATGTTTCAAATAAAATCCAAGGTTGGTTTAAAGGCACTTGAAATACAGTTAAACTGTTTTGAATTAATGAACCACACAAATACATCCACACCATCAGTGTCCAACACTCTGCTGGGCTAAACTGGCAGCGAACGCTCCACATGGAGCGAGCCATCTGGTGCTGGCAGACACCATGCAGCTGTGAAGACAAACAGCAGGGAGCGCCATCCTCGTTACCGTGCTTCCCACAACTCTGAATTATTAAACTCATCCATTAAATTATCCATAAACGCAACCATTAGAGGGGGTACGGCTTAAAACCTGCAGAGTGAGAGGGCGTGTGTTGTAGTTTTTAAGTGTTCTAACTGGGGTGTCATTTGATTTGACTTAAGAACAAACAAACAAACGATTCATTGGTGGATTTCTAATGTTTGGTTTCTCAAATTAATCATAAGAAAGTGTTATGTCATATAAGGACCGTGCACTGCGTTCATTTTCCTTTTTAACCTTTCGTTTCCACGTTGATGGAAAGGTTGCCTTTGGGAAAATTTGGAAAAAAAATTGGAAAGAAATAAGATCCATTTGGTTGAGGTAATACAACTGTTAATCATGGAATCTTTATATAAAATAAAACTATTCAGAATAAAATATTTCTGCATAAAACATTATGTCACATTGGTGGCGCTGCTGGACGTACCAAATCTTGAAGCTATTTTAATTTGTGTGGCAACATCATCACCACGTCCACTTCTACAGCAGGGGGTCTCTAATGTTGAACCTCTTCAGATCAACTCAAGTTACATTCAAGTCTATGTTCCCACATTTTATTGCATGTTAAAAAAAATAACTAACTGCTTTGGTCCATGTTGTTTTCACCAGACCACACAGATATATTATTAAAGAGTCTCATGTTGATGCTGCAGGGATTCCAATATATTTTGCCCTCAAGGCAGGAAGGCATTAATTTTTAATAAATCCTACGCGGGTCTGCAGAGGCACAGGGACTGATAAGAGTGACAGGAACAAGCAGGGAGAAGCTAATTAGATTTTAATGTGTTGAAAAAAAGTGGCGAAGAGAACACTGGGGCAAAGAGACACAGGAAGAGACGAGGCTCTGTGAGCTGTGGTCTGTGTCAATGTTAGAACGACTCAAACTATTTGGATCAGATGTGAATTTTCAAGCACTTTAACAAGATTATGGGGAGCGACACCTTGGTGTTGCACCAATTATTTTTGCATTTTTATCAAACCGCTGCCTGGCATCAATTTCACACCTACACCAAACATTAGCTTCACGCATCAGCCTCACAATTTGGGATGCATGCAGACCAATATAACCTGGCCATAACAGAGAAGACAAAAATGATTTTGCTCACATTCTACTGCGGCAAGTCTCACGTGTGCTCACGTAAAGTTGTAGCGTAGCCACACTGAAATGAAAAGTGCTGAAAGCACTGAACGGAGAGCTGACCACTGTAGTGCTCCACTGCAGCTGAGCTGCTGCTGTAGCACTGTATATTACCCAGCAGGCCTGCAGCGTCTCGCAGCGATTACCAGCTGCCTCTCTGTAATTAAATTTGCACCGAGGAGTGGAAATGGTCAGTGGTTACTTGTGCTCAGACTGGACACCTACGTAGATGTTGAGTGAGCACACGAGCAAAATCTGCAAAGGTGAAAAATTCATTTCACAATGAAACCTATGAGTTTAAAGCCGACTGTATTATGTATTAGCACAACAACATGCTCAACATGGACGACGTAACCCTTCATCTTCCCTCTCAACACACTCACTCATCTGAGGGGAACTTTGAATCTGGGACACAACCTTGACTGGGAATATAGGGCGAACATTCAGGGAGGATGGAGAGCTGGGATAGTGTGTGGTGAGGGAGGAGGTGGCGTGGAATTTTTTTCTGAATTAGATCTGTGTCATACAGCAAGTTGTCTTTTCAAAAAATGTAAACGTGTTTGCAAATAAAGTCACAGGTTTAAACTGACAATCTGAGGATGTTTTTACGAGTCGAGCTCTGAGTCTGTTCTTACTTCATCAATTCATCACAGAAGATATTTAGAAGATATCAAGTGTTTTCAGGAACTCCATTTTAACTGCTAATGTAGTTGTACATGCTAAGCTAATATCAAAACACAGCCAAATAATCACAACAGTCATTTCTCCAGCAGAGAGAGAATTCATATTTCCATAAAAAGTCCGACCCTCCTCTTAATTCTCCTCACTTCTACCAAACAGACCAACGCAGCACATCAACAACATCACACAGTCATGGGATCAAATACCTTACGTTGCTTAGCAACTCAGTGGTGGGAGAAAGGTGGTACCTGCAAAATGCATCACTGAAAGGAGAGTGATCTGTAGTCCACAGAACCCCCTCCTCTGGAAGGGAACATCAGACTTCCTTTGAGCCTGAGATGCAGCTCAGGGGTTGCTATTTTTAATTAGCACAACCATAGATTGTAACTCAGTATCAAAGTAAAGGTGCATGAAGTTAATCCCAACATAACTTATTCTATTGATTTTTGGCTTTAAAAAAATATAAAAAATTTCATGTAACGCTTTAACATTTTTTTTTAAATCATAAGCTTATATCAGACAAATTAAGTGGATGGTAAGGGGAAAAGAAAATTGAAAATATAATGTTCTTTGGGTTTTAATAAAGGGAGGTTTCTGTTGTCCGTTGTTACTGTTAAAAGAGTTCCAAAACCCTATTACAGGCATGATTTTCTCCAACTCTCAAAAAAAGTCAAATCAATAAAGGACACGTTTTAGTCCCGAAGGCCAGAAAAAAGAGATTCAATTCAATCTCCTTCTCATTTCACCACAATGGAGGTCACATTTCAATATCATTCTTTAATATTTCACAGTTTGCACCAAGGGGAAAAATATGTCAGAGCAAAAATGATTCAGGTTGGTGAATCATCCTTCTGCCTCCCAGCTCTCTGAGGGAGTCGGATTATTAGATCAGGTTAACTTTCAAACCAAAACTCGTTAATTCCTCTTCTTTCAAAGCTGGTTATCAACAGTAATGTGTCTTAACAACATCACTGCACAAATACTGTACAATACTTTCTAACTTTACTTATCTAGCCAGACTAAACGTGTGAATAACATGAGAAATAAAGCAGCTCAGCTCCCAGTTCATCCTGTGGGCAGCAATGATTACATGCTCCACATTAAGGAGTCCACATAAGCTACGGTTGCTTTTGTTCCTGACTGATTTCCTGTGTTATTTATAGCCGGTCTCCCACAGTGATAACTGCACCAACATTTGCTCCTCACACTGTGGCAGTTGGTCTGATGCCGCGCAGTGGGACTCGGCTTGATAAGCAGAAAATTACTCTGGCTTTCTCTAATGAGCAACGTGGCACAGAGTTATCAACAATGAAGACTGATCACAGGGTGAGGCCAGAATAAATACAAACAGTGTTTGATATACTGTATATTTTCACCATGTCCTAGAGGAAGGCTTAGTGTGTACTACAGTGTTGTTATTAGGGCTGCAGCTAATGATTTGTTTTCCATACTTTAATTTAACTCTACATTAACAAAAGGTTATTTATTTATCTTCTATGGTTTTAATCCTGGAGCCGCTGTCTGCAGTTATCAGTCGATGGCGGGCTTCACCCTGGACCGTTCTCCAGTCCGTCACTGGGCCACATCAAGACACAAACATCCATTCACACTTAGCATCTTTATGGTCAAACCTCGAGTGAAAATAAAAAGATCAATGATACATCAGAAGAATGTACAAATGTCGTTACAGAAGGACCATCTGTTACCACTGGGGATTGAACCAGTGACCCTCTTGCTGTAAGGCAAGATAACTACTGTAACTACTATGAGCATGTGACCAGCAGAAATGTTATTTCCACTCTGAATATCTACTGGAATTGCTATATCTATAAGCTGGTATTGCTAAATTATAATAACTCAAGGTTAGAAATGGCATTTTTTTCTACCAAAATGATTTAATTGTCCGTTTGATTTGCCAGATGTTGAATTATAAAGTTTAAATTATCAACTATCAGAAAGGATATTACAAAAATCCTTTTGGATCCTTTTTTATGCTAAGATTTCACCACAATGCAGATACTCAGAACAAATCTTTCCCTGTGGCAAATCTTTTTTCTTTTTAAGAATAACTGCTCAGCACTGTGGGAAGATTAAATACATTAGCAATTCAAACACTTTGGTTCGCTGATACAGATTTTTGTGCCCAGAGCACTTGCTCCTCCTTTGGGTGAAATTGATTAAAGTATAATAGCAGCTTCATTTCAATATTTTTTTTAATTTTCTTTTCCAAACATTTGTCTTGTAAAATATGGAGGAGGGGAGGAAAGAATGTAGATCTGCCTTCTTCAGCTGAGTGCTTCAGGACAACAACATTTTCCTGGAGCAACCACCGGAACTCTACATCCATTATCACAACAAAGCAGAACAAGTCACCTTCGAAAAGCTGCTGATCTGGTTGGAGACGGTGCCTCTGCGTGCCCCCGCTAATAGATGAGGTCTTCCCACAGGAATCCCCTCTAATGGGCTGAAGCACTTTAGATCCTGCTGTAGCAGTGATGAATGTCTGACACAGCTGGATACTTCAGTCCAGGTCACACGTATCAGGAACATCAGGATGGAAAGTGCTGCAGTTCTGCTTGAAGAGTGTGGAAATGCCATTATCGAAGTATATTTTTCTGCTAAATGATTTCATTTTCTGTCACATTTAAATGTAAAGTGCTCCAAGATTGGACTTGGCAACTTTACTGTTTAAATATGATCAGTTAATG